TTGTATTAAGGTCCTTAAAATATTTATACGATTTTATAATTGGTAAGTTTTGTGCTAGAAATAGAAATCTTGGGAGGATATTCATTTTAATCGTGGCTATTCTACCTAGTAAGGATAGATGTAGTTTTGTCCATCTATTTAAGTCTTCCTTAATTTCCTTTATGAGTTTCACATAATTATCCTCATAAAGTGAAGCTGTACTGTCTGTAATCCAAATTCCCAAATATTTAACCTTATTTACTATTTCCATCTTTGTAATATATTTAATCCTTTGAATCAATGTACTGCTACAGTTTTTAGTTATTATTTTAGTTTTCTGAAGATTTATTTTCAATCCCGCTACTTTGCCGTATTCAAGAATTTCCTCTATTAGGTGTTTCAAAGACTCATCTGGAACTTCGGTCACAAAGATTAAATCACCCGCAAATGCTTGAAGTTTGAATGTTTCTCCTTTAACCTTTAGTCCTTTTATATGTACATTTTCTCTGATCTTATCAGTTAGTGCTTCTAACGCGAAAATAAAGAGTAGAGGCGATAACGGGCAACCCTCCCTCATACCCCTCTGTATTGGAATGTTTTTTGATAGCTCCCCGTTAATTATCACTTTCGCATACTGAGTTGTATAAATTGCTTGGAGCATTGAGAAAAAATTTTCTCCACATTGCCATTTATTAAATCTTTGTAACATGTAGTGCCAGTTCACATTGTCAAACGCCTTCTCTGCGTCCAACAACATGAAAGCTACTGGGTCGCCTGGGTGATTTTCATAATACTCTAGCATATTTATTATATTTCTAGTATTATTTTGGATTTTCCTTTTAGGTAGGAATCCAGATTGGTCTTTATGTATTATTTGTTCGAACACACTTTTGGGGGACTCATAGCCCCCTTATGTCCTTAGAGAAAGCCCTGGTTCAGTAGTCTGCGACGGAGCAATCCCACACGCAGCTACTCTCGTCGAGTTCCGGTGGCCATCCCCCGTTAAACTACAAAATTAAATTATGTTTCTTTCCAGTAACACCTGTTATCCAGTTACACTGGGTAACAATCACATGGCATTTTGATCTATTTTCATGTACCTAACTGTGGCATATCAAAATGAATTTCTTCACTGTTTTCTTTGGAAAGGCAAAATAATAAGCTACAATTGTTTGGTATATTTTTTGTGACAGTCTGGATCTTTTTCTTTGATTTATGCCATATCACAAAACCAGTGATAGATGGAGGCATTATTAGTATTGGTTATTTATGGAGGAATTTATTAACTTTGCAACATTTTTAATAATTTTATATTGGTCATTTCTGGCCCTGTTCATACGAGCCCATTTGGGCCGGGAGCGGGACGGAACGGGGCGGAGCAAACCGGCGCGATCCCACCTCAACATCTGGGGAGCGTGCCGGATCCGTCCCTTTCAGCGTTGCTCCGTGGTGAAAAAGAACCACCTCCCGAGGTGGTTCTTTCTGAAGGGCCGCAGCAACGCTGGCCGTGGGATCGCCGGCACGTCCTTGCGCCGGCACATCCCCGGCTCCTGGCCGAACTGCGCATGTGTGAGCATGCGCAGTTCGCCAGGCTCCCCTTCCCACCGTCGCGTTCTCCCCGGCATCCGATCGTGCCGGGGAATGTTGCGACGCGGCTGCGCCGTCCCAACTTTACTGCGGCTCACTTTAGCCACGGTACTACCGTCTAATTCCCTGCCGTGTGGCAGGGACCTCTGTTAGCCAAACTGCCTTATTTACGACAGATGGCAACTAAATTTAACGTGAGTCCTTGCCAAAGTTTACGGAGGTTCTGTCAGTCCCAGAGTTCCCAGTGATGGAGATGAGACTGGTATTTTTCCAAAACAAATTGTCTTTTTACTGAACAGTATCAAAACCACATACACAAAAAAACAGAGTCACTCACACTTGCAATCAAGTTCCTTTAGGGTTACAGAAATAGCAAAAATAGTTTATCTTTTACTTAGGAGGTAGGGTGGTACACGTTCGTACTTATCTCTCCTGAAGCCTTGTCTGATGCGATGAAAAATGAAGGGTATGGAAATAAGACCTAGGGATGTTGCTAATTCACACCTGCTAGAACCAGCCAGAAAGGGGTGGACCTCCTTGGCTGCGCACACCAAGAAGATCAGAAATAGGTAATAGGGTTGTTTGATAGAAAGCTGGGCATTAGAGGTATGAAAGAAGACAGGGGATGTTGAAAGGGGTTGTGGCTAGCAAAGGACCTAACACATAGTCCTCACTTTTTATAGTTGAATCTCCAGGTGGGTGGCAACCTGAACCCACCTACTTGCAAGTCCATCCCATAACCTCACTCATTGGTGCATGTAGAAAGGGGCATGGACCTAGGGGTGTGGACAATATTTGAAACTCTAAACTCTATCTCATGGAAAGCCATCTGGGCAGGTGTGAAGTTCTGGCATCCTGTATCTCCCTTGATGTGCAGATAGATCTTGGCTTTCCCAGGCAAACAAGGCACCTTCCAACAGGAAATGGCAATTCAGATGCAGAAGTACTGTGTGACATCAGTCCTTCAGCAATGGTGGAGTTACCTCTCCTTAGTTGTTGTTTTCTGCTAACAATGGCTAACATGTGCTTCTCCTTCCCATAAGGCTCTTGAGTTGAATGTGTGCAAACCTCATTAACATAAAATGCAGGCAGGTGTCCTCTATGTGAAATCTCTATGCCTATGGGTATACAATGTGTGTGCACAGTTCATGTAGTGTGTGTGTCAGCAGATATGAATCCATAAACAGCAAAATCAGTCTCTTTCTCAACAATTGGTTCACAAATTATGGCTAAAATTGGAATTTCTGGTAGACTACTGGGGAACAAATGTGGGAAGAAGAAGAGCCAGTACCTGTCATAGTGGAAGGCTGGATGGACCAGTGGTCAGTGTATGATAGTTTTCCAAATGGACTATAAGGTTGACAGGTCCCTCCTGGGAACCAGTGGGGGATGGGGGGACTTACCTGGAGCAGGAGGGAGGCCAGGTTACATGCAGCAACATGCTTGCATCACTGCCCATGTGAACCGGAAGAGACGTTACACTGATTTTTAAAAAGGTGTCCAGAGGGGAACCAGGAAATTACAGGCCAGTCAGACTAATGTCTGTCCCAGGGAAATTAGTAGAAACTAATCAAAGATCAAATTATCAGGCACATAGAGGAACAAAGTCTGCAGATGAAAATCACCATGGCATCTGCAGAGGGAAGTCCTGCCTCACCAAGCTTTTGAAGTAGACATTATATACCTGGACTTTTGAAAGGCTTTTGAAAAGTTATCTCACCAAAGACTCTTGAGTAAATTTAGCAGTCATGGGATAAGTAGACAGGTTATTTTATGATTTTTAAAAAAGGTTAAATGTAAGGAAGTAAAGAGTGTGAATAAATGGACTCTCTTTCACAATGACAGAAGCAAGCAGTGGGGTCCCACAATGATTAGGGATGGTACTATTTAATTTATTCATAAATCATCTGGAACTAGGGTTGAGTAGTATAGTGGCCCAAGTATGCAGATGACACAAAATTATTCAGGATGGTGAAAACCAAGGCTGACTGTGAAGAGCTGCAAGAGGACCTCCACAAACTGGGTGACTGGGCAACAATGTGGCAAATGAAGTTCAATGTTGGTAAGTGTAAGGTGATGCACAGTGGAACAAAAAATGTTAAGTTCAAGTGTAGGCTAATGGAGTCTGAACTTGCTGAGACAGATGGGGAAAAAAGATATTGGGGTCGTAGTGGATAGCTCAGTGAAAATGTCAGCCCAATGTGCTGTAGCAGTGAAAAAGGCAAACACTAAATTAAGGATTAGGAAGGGGATTAAAAATAAAACAGCTGATATTATAATGCCTCTGTGCGGCCTAGACTGAAATACTGTGTACAGTTTGGGTCACTGTATCTCGAAAAGGACATCGCAGAGCGGAACAAGTACAGAGGAGGGCAACCAAGATGATTAGGGGGTTAGAGCACTTTCCCTATGAAGAAAGGCTGACGAGTCTGGGACTTTAGAAAAGAGATGAGTGAGGGGTGTGTGTCGACGTGATAAAGGTTTATAAAATTATGCATGGGGTGGAGAGAGCTCACAAAGATAATTTTTCTCCCTCTCCCCAAATAGTACAACGCAAGGCCATCCAATGAAACAGATGGGGAGTAGATTCAGTATGAACGTTTTCTTTAGACAAGTGATTAAAATGTGGAATTAGCTGCCAGAGAATGTAGTGACGACCACAGACACAGGGTCTGTCATTCCCATCCCAGAATACTTCTGCTACTTCCAAGGGCTGCCATTCCACTCTGTAGGGCTATCATTCCAGTCCCAAGAGCACTGACTCTGTTCCTGGGGACCGTCATTCCACTCTGAGGTCCTTCATTCCAGTCCCAGAAGAGTCTATCTGCGCCTACAGACATTGCAATGAAAATTCATTCTGCATTTTCACTGCAACATTTTTGCGCTGTAATGATATTTCAATGGAGTCCATACAACTCAACTAGCATTCCTGGCTCCCATTATCTCCATTGGGCCTTCAAGCCTCTCCCATTGTTTCCAGTAATAAGCAATCCTGTCATTCCTTTTAGTACCTCTCTGTTTAGAACAAGTGGCTGTGGTCACATTCCATCCTGGTCTCTTGATACAAGTCAGATTCCATATTTCTCTTCTCTCCACTTTGCCCTGGATTTTGCCCTCCGCTTGGTAAACCGCCTGATTCTTGCACTTCAATTGATCCGCCTCGGTGGCGCCACTTAACTCGTAACGTCGAATTGCTGCGAATGAGTGAAGCCTCCACATCCAGCAAGCGAGTGCGTGCGGAGCAGCTGTTCGAAGGGCCGGAGAGGCAGCAAAATGACTCAATACTCCCCCCGCCCCGGGTCGCCTAGGCTTGAACTGCGGCTGTGGCCACGTAACAGCCAATGAAAAGCGTGAGTGGGTTTGAATGAGCCACATGGCAGCCAATAGCCACGGAGAAGGGGCGGAGCTGTCCTGTGAGACCTGTTCCGCGGAAGCCGGGAGAGTTCAGTCTTCCACGGTGTCTGTGGCTCTTCGTCGTGGTCCTGGTCGTCCTTGCGTCATGGAGGCCTCGAAAGCTTTCTTCGGTTCAGGCCTCTTCTATTGGGCTGGGGTGTTGACTGTCGCGTACTTCGTTTGGAGGATCCTCTACCATGTGGTGAATGGCGTCCGCCTGTGGGTTATGGGTGATGCTCAAGCGGTGGGCCCGCATCTGGGCGCCTGGGCGGGTGAGTGCGCGTTCGCTGCATTCCTCTCACGATCCTCTTCCAGTGTGCTCACCTGGGCCTCAGCCCCAGTCTCTTGGCTCCTCTGCGACCGTCTTTCCCTCTGTCTCTGCCTTTCCTCACACTCGGCTCTTATCAGCTCGTCTCGTTATGGGTCTCCTGTGAAAAAGCGCGCCCGCACTCTTTTCCCCCACCGTTTCCCCCTGGTTTTTTCCCCTCTGTAACCCAGCAGGTTTTTGCCGTGTCCCAGTGCTGTTTTTAGGGTCCCCCCCCCCTTTTGAGCTGGTTCCTCGCTTGCCGTCTTCTTTGCTGTTAGAAATAGAAATCGGCTTATGCCCAAGGTCACAATAAAGGATTAGGTGCTAGTTTAACGCACTGGTTTGAAATCACATTTATGCAAATTAGGCAAACTTTTTCTTTAAAAAAACCCTGCCACCCATTCAGGTTTGTGTAATGGTGAATTCATTAACATACTTGAGAAACTACTTGAGGTCGAAATTAGTAAAATGGCTTTCCTAGGTTTTAAAAAACCTGCTTCTGGGTGTAATAATGTTTTGAGTAGTGCTGATAGTAGATGGGAATAATAGCTGTTCTAAACAAAAATACAGTGCTAAGCGCGAGCTAGTTTTCAGTGTGTTCTGTAGTTTTGATATATAGGGTTCGTATACTGTTCTTTGTTCTTTTATTGCTGCTTGTACAACTTACCCTCATGAGGAAAAGAGGATGCTGATTTTTATACCACTTGCTGGTAGAATAAAATTAAATAGACTAATTTTTTCCCATACATGTAAACTCTTAACATTTTGATCCTGGAGGACATTAAGATTAAAATACTAAAAAAAGTAAAGCAGAACCAAACTTAATGGAAGATCAGCCTTAATAAAAGGAAACACAAAATAGCATGTGTGTTTAACATTTCTGCTAACATACCTTTTCAAGAATTATTGCTAGTGTGTGATGAAGTATGCTTGATGACAAGCTTGCATCACAAGCTTCTGAGTAGATAGTTTAATTGTTTTCCTTTAGAGCTAAAAGAACAAATAAACATGCTTTTTTGGTAAAGGTATTCAGAGATATGCTAATTTACAGTTTATTATTTACATCCAACTCATCATTACATAGGACTGCTATAATTATTGTCTTCCTGCATGTTTAGTTATCTGGATTGAAAAGATTGATTAATCTGGCTGTAGATTTTAGGGGGTGGAGAAAATGCTTGCGTTGCAATAATTGGAAGGCCATCCTGTGCAAGGCAAGCCAGCCAGGGATGTTTGACTACCTTAGTTGCCTCTAGCCACCACCACTGGATTTGCCATGTTTGCTGCCATATTTTGCCTTTGGTAGATGGTTGCAACATGAAGGGGGATGAAATCTGGTGTTCAGCCCTTTTTCTTGTGTAATGAAGTATAGATTTAGTTGCTAACACAATTCGACAGCAGTTGTCTTTACCAAATGAATTTTTCTTGCTTTCATTCTACAGTGTCCTTTTGACTACTGTTATTTGTTAGCTTTCCTTGTTAAGATTATATTCTTTGTATGTGTGAATATCCTTTATTTTGACATCAGAAAAACAGAGCTTGATCTCTGTTTTAAGTTGTTAATTAATGTTAGTTGAACTGGATAATAAGAAAGCAAAGCATGCTTTTGAAGACCTGCACTGGCTTAGAAGTGATTTGTTTCTTTGACTTGCTTCCACTTAGGAAAGAATTTCACAAGAAGTCTTGGCTAATTCACATTATTGCATGCTAAAATATTTGCCATTTCTAGACATTACCACTGTTGTTTGCATTTTGAAAAAAAGGAACTTCTTTAGTCTGAATCATATGCCAACAAGGTTGTACTGGGGTGATTCACAATACTTAACCAATGTAGTACATTATGATTCTTTTAACCATTTTAAAAAGCGTACTTCTGACTTGCCCACAGCCTAGAAAATTCTTGTCTTTACTGTGTCCATAATGTGTCTCCTGTGTATTAATATGGGTTTGTATAAATTGTTGTTTTTTTCACCCTCTGTATCTCCATACATTTTGTCTGAACAACAGAGAGCATTTCTAGATCAGACAAAAATCTCCATCTGACTATTCTGTTAACAACAGTGACAAACCAAATGCCACCAAGAAGCCTTGGGCACAAAGCCAACATACATAGTGAATTCCCTAGAAACTAGTGTTTGGAGGTATACTGCTTCTGAACATGGAGGTACTGTGATAACATCTGATAATTGTTGGTAGGTATAATTATTAATTGCCTATTCTTTTTAAAGGCCCTTTATATTGGTGTCCCATCACATCTTGTTTAATTTATCCTTGTTTCTTAGGTTAGTTGTATGAATGACTGCTTCCTGTAGTTCAGGATCATTTATCAGAATCTGTATCTGCACTGTGCCTTAGGAGATAGATGAACAGAGCTGCAAGGTGGAGCTAGGGACCGTGGGGGGATTTTACAAATCTGAAGAAAGTCCCAGGGCTGTAGAAAAGTCTGAAATCTAAGAAAAATATGTTGGAGGATTAAAATTCTCTCAAATAACAGAAACACTGCCTGCACTTTTAAGAGAAGGATGCCCACTAACATTCAGTGGCTGTTGGGGGTTGCTAGGCAAGTACAACAGTATTGTCAGGCCTTCCAAGCATTGGTTACTGGGGTGGAGAGACAAGAGTTGTCTGGAAGGTCTGTGGTGGGGAGACAAGAGTTGTCTGGAAAGCAGAAACAGCCCTTGAAAAGCTCCTTGTCCCCTGCCAGCTCCCTCTGGTGGAAGCGTTGTGTTTAGCGGCAATGCTCCCTGTAAGCTGTGGAATCTTGTAAGCAAAAATTCTACGTTGTGAGCCACTGGCATTAAAGTTGTGAGCGAGCAATTTGGCTGCTGTGTAAATTAGTTTGCTCTGGAGCCATCCTTCCCAAGCTAAGACAAAAAGGCGTGAGCCGGAGGCTAAAAAACTGTGAGCTAGCTCACACTAACTCAGCTTAGAGGGAACACTGCCTAGCGGCTATATCAACACAGCTCATCCTGATGATGGTGGCCACTGTAGCCCAGAGGTGCTGCCTTATTCGCAGGGTAGCCCCAACAGCAGGACACCCCACTTCTGACCTGAACCAGAGACCCCACAAAGTCAAAGAGGACATTCTTGACCTGAGCCATAGAGCTAGCCAAAGCTCTGCAAAAATGGTTTCAGTTTCAAGTTGCACAAGGCAGCCCTCGAAGCAATTTCCAACCCTACCTCCATCCAGCAAAGGCATGCATATTAAACAATCACGAGTTCCACCAGGTAAAGTATCTGCATTTCCATAACTATTTAGTAGCCACCTGACAAACAGCTCTTCTGTCTCCAAACCTTCACGTAGCCCCTTTTGTGCAACCCCTATGCCTGTGTGGAAGTCCTTTATCTCCACACCTTGTCTTTCTGCCCCCTCCGGCAGGTTACCAAGATAAACTAATCAAACATCCTTCCTGATGCCAATCAGAGACCCATTTCCCCCTTTTGGCCCAGCCTGGGAACCTATTCAACCTACTCTGGTTGGACCATCAGTGGTCATCAAACCCATTCAGCCAGCTTTGGTAGGACCATTAACAGGTATTAATCCCATCAAGTTCTAGCCCAGGAGACTGCCCCCAGAATTCTTATAAAAATAGAGACCATGCCCCACCTCGGTGTGCACTCTGAGGGTGCCTATACTTGAGTACACCTCCAAAGCGTCCGCTTTGGGTCTCCTCCTCCATAGTGTGAAATTGTTCTGTCCTCTTCATGGACTTGTGCTCTCCTCTTCATGGACTTCTGCACATCTGCCCAGGTAATATAACCCCCCATAATTGTTCCTAAACATCACCTCTTTATTTCCTAGTTCTTTATTGCTTGCTTACTTCATTTTTGATTGCTTTAGTGTGATTGTAATCAGGGAAGTTCTTTAATAAAACTATTTAATTTACTCTTCAAATCTGGAGTCTTCCTGTTTGATATATATAGGTGTGTGGTCCCTGGTCCCCCACAGGCCTCCTCTGTCTCAGAGCTAATCCCCCCCCCCAACAACAAGGCAGGCCACTGGTGGTAACAGCCACCACATAACTTAGCCCAGCCTTGCTGGGCAGCAACCACTATGCACCTATGTCTGCCACTGCACAGTCCAGCCAGACTTTTTCCAGGGAGCGGTTG